CCAGCAGCGAAAACACCGTCTGCGATAGTAGGATCGTAACACCTGCAAAATCACACACACACGCGCGGCTGGTTCACGCGTCTGCATAAACAAATATACACGCAGACGAGGTGCACTTCTTTCCGTTTATCATGGAACGCGAGCTGACCGAGGAACAATCGAATTTAAATAAACTATATGTGTACGTAGTAACGTGATAAACGTCAGAATGAGATCAAAGTATGTGAATGATTGATTCGCGGCTAATGCGAGTGGAAAATGGTTTGGATGTGAGTAAACGTTTCCCTTCCTCCGTTTTCGGTGGAAATCTTGAGAGAATCGTGCGAAAATCGCGTGAAACGTCTTGGAAATCCATTGTGAGAACATATTCTTGAAAGGACGTTACGAGGGATGAGGAAGAAGGGCAGTGGGAGTGGTGGGTCGAGGGTGAAAGGATCCTTTTGTTCGAGGGTCAGGATCTCGCGTTTTCCATCCTTTCTCTGTCCGCCTCTGCTCGACGCCGTCGCTTTCTCCCTTTCTCTACGTTTCGCTTCACGCTTTGTCTTCCTTGATAAATGTCAGAAGCGGGGGTTACCGAGGGGTTAAAGAGGGCTAAGAGGGTTAAGGTAGTTCCGACAACGCTCTCAGCTTTCGAATATGAAATATAATTTTACGATTCGGTCGGAACGTATCACGGATGAAACATCCTCGTTAATTCGGAAAACAATTTATTATTACCGTATTATTAATTTCGACGTCATTGTTCCGTCGGTAACGAACGATATTTTGTGCACATCGTCTGCGTGACAAAAGAAAAATTAAATAATAATGCATTTTTTATTATTGGTCATTGAACTGATTTAATTGGTACCTACGTACGATTCGTCGATCAATTAATTGATCGTTGAGTTAACAAACTTGCAAACATTGAAGCTGACTGTTCGAACAATTTTTCAAATGTTAAAACAATTTGTTAGACTTTCAAGATCCGCGAAATTCATTTGATTTTTAATTGTCGTTCTTTACGGAACTGCGAGGATTCTATGAAGAATATTTAAAGAGAATCGTAACGAGTCGGTTCGAACGGTGATCGTAAACAAAAGTAACTGTTCAATAAAAATGCTCAAATGCATCGACTTCCATTAATTTCCGATTTCTATTAAAACCGGACGAACACTGTGAAAGGGTTAATATCGACGGGTAAAGGCATATCGATAACAGTCGGATTTCGCGTTTTATAACTGCCAGATATCCACCGTATTGTCGGCTTATCACGTTCGGCGAATCGACAATTCCGAAATCCTTTATCACCGTCTTTTTCGGGGAACGGTTTGACGTGAAACGTCGATAGGATGTCTCTCGATTGTCTAAACCCTCCTTTCCGAACAGAAAGAGGAAATAACAAATATCTGGTCCAAGCGGCAACGTTTCACCGATAGACGTCGACTCTTGTCATCCTTTTTCTGTTCGCGAAAAGAAGAATGTCAATTTTATGAACTCCGTATTTCATTAGTCCGAATTTCTTTTTCACTGTCCGCTTCGATCCACGGGAATTCGTTTCATCAAGCTCCTTCAAATGGTTAATTAACAGATTTCAACTACTTCCGAGTCGCGTAGAGAAAGCAATCATTTTTTTACTTGAGAGTCAAACGAACATCTCGTTGCAAATATCTTTTATTGTACAATGAAAACTGTCGATATATCTACGATTCAACAGACAGAGATTCTCTATATTTAAACTTTAAATAAGGTCTTCTTTCTTATATTCTTCTGTATACGTATGTAGTTCACAACTTTTATCAATTTGCAAACGTGCACCGAATGGAACTATCGTACACCGTTAACAATTTTCCCATGAAAAGTGTGTCGCAATACCGTGCATTATTCAATTCTTTATAAAATATTCACCGTATATGTATAATGCACACAATATTTATACTATGTAACCAATGTAAGATCAACTATGAATGTACGAAGTGGATTATTTAATTTACACACATTTTTCATTAATAAGTTACGCGTTGGTAAAGGAATTAAATAAAATAGTGAAAAATAAAAGTTGCCAGTGTGGTTGTCACAAAGAATAATGAAAAACAAAAGTTCGAATTATGGGAAAAAAAAATTCTGATGCGCATGTAACAAAGAAAACTTTATTTTATTCTAATAAAAAAAATACACGAAAGAAAAGTTTACTTCTTTATACAACATTTTATAGGTACTCTTTACGTTGCCAACGCATAATTTATCAATCATCTTGTATATAATTAAAACAATTCACCTAGTACAGTAAATAGGTCGAGTCACAATTAACTATCAATGTTTCTTAAAAGTATTACCAATACTCTTTCAAAATTTATATTAAGTTTTCATCTTCATTGTTAGCAGTGTCTCTCCGTTCATCTAAAGATCGTGTTAGTTAAACAGAGAAAGGTTGACAATAGAAAATGTATACAATTTTAATATAAATAATTGTTTAAAAAGTATTGGGCAATAATGTAGTAATTGAAGCTGAGAGTAATTGAAGTTGACTGTGACTCGTTGTTTGTAATAATTAATCACTATACTCGATCGCAACATACCAATCAATACATCAATAATAATAATAATGATAATAATAATAATAATAATAATAATAATAATAATAATAATAATAATAATAATAATAATAATTGTTATTATTATAATTGTAATAATAATCATAGTAATCATGATAATAATAATTAACGAAGAAGAAGGACATTACACGTGTAGTAATAATGATAATAATAATAATAATAATAATAGTAATAATAATAATATTAAGTAATAATAACGATACTTAACACGAGACATGTGTAAAGCGTAATCAATAATTAATAACAATAATAATAGTGTTTTACAGGCAATGTCCGAGTATAATAACAATAATAATAATAATAATAATTACAGGCAATAGTATATAGTTCAATAAATAATCCAATTAGGCCAGCATCTTGCAATAAGACTTGCAATCAAAATGAAACAATTTAGAAGTAGCTTTCGCGATAGAAAGAGATAGATAAATAGATAGATAGATAGAGAGATAGAGGAAGAGATAGAGACAGAGACAGAGACAGTAGAAATCTTGATGTATAGATGAAGAAAATAGATGTGGCTACGATAAACAAATGGAGCCAGACAGAGACAGAGATAGAGAGCCTCTAAAAAAGTTGCGAGCGCATTTAAAGAAATAAAAAAAAAAAATATGTACTCTTTATATTCGATTATTACTTTGCGTATTATCGTAATATTTAATTTATCGATCATTACGCAGCGTAGCCGCGATGGCAAGTAAATAAGATAAAGGAGCGTCAAACTGATAAGAAGCATAAGAGGGCTGGAAGTTCTTTTGCCATACAGTGTCCCCCTTTCCCTCTTTTTTCAATCAAGGGAAAAATGTTAAATGAGCTTCCTTGCAGAAGCAGCAGTTTATCGGAAAAATCTTCTCTGCGAGCAGCAAGATTGTGAATTTCTAAATTAATCGATCGGCCATAAGTTTTCATTTTAAATTGAGAACCTTTTCACGGACAGAGCTAAGTTAGAAGGGCCTCGGAATAAGAAAAATCGATTCACTCTCTTTTGTCTCCACACTCTCATTCATTCGACGCCAAGATTTTGCGAAGGATACGTTAAATATGGATACGTGTGACGCATTTCAAATAGAACGGCGCACCCCTTAATGCAACGAATTAATTGTTATGAAATAAATGTAACAGCGTATAATATGTCTCCATCGTTAAAAATAATATTACCCGAACCGATGTACCTCAGTATTATTTCATCTCGTTCACGTTTTCGTTTGGTCTTATTTAAAAAAGCTTTCCTACCATTACCCAACGTACTTGGGAGGGAAAAGCTTGTGCTTTACCGCGGGTATGTTTCCCGTTGGGAAAATAGAGAGCTAAAACAACAAACGAGATGAGAGTCCAACTGGTTGGACCGACAAAAAGAGTATGTGCATATTCTTCATACGAAATAAGATTTATTTTATAATATAATTATCTGAACGTATTATTATTTCTGTTCGTCGATTTTAGTTGAAATGTAAAGACCGTGAAAATTCTAGCTATGTTCAACCTCCGTGTTTTCATCGTCGCGACACGTCGAGTCGGCTTGAACATTCGGGACGTCGTAGTTTCGACTTCTACTTCAATTAATTTCGCCGTGGTATCGTCGGTGACATCGAAATTGAGCAGAACATCGAGAAGTCCCGCGACTCGCTTTGAAGTCGGAAAGGTAAACGAAACAGAAGATGAAATAATCGACTGATGCGTCGATTCGAAGGGAGAGGGGCATTTTAATTTACCGGAGTCCGAGCATACGATAAAACTTAAAAACGGAACAGAATTGATAACCGGCAAGGTGGAGAGAAATAGGATAAAATCGACAGGTGGCGAGAATTTCGAGGCGAGAGAAAAGTTTCGCGCGATATACGAGGCGAAAAAAGTCGTCAGAGTAAAAGAGATCGACGAGACTCCTTCTCCTTCCGATAGTTCCGGATATTATAAACGATAACTGTTTCAACTTTTTAGATTGATGTCTTTACACGTGGTTCTTTTGTTTTTCCCCTTACAAATTGCTAAACGCGTTTTATAAAAAAGAGTTTATTGAGAAATCTTCGCTCGAGTGCACCGTTCCATTCAAACGTATCCTTGTACAAAATCAAGCAATTCACGTTTCACCGTTGTTATTATTCGAAGCTTTAAGTCAACAGCATTCGCGGCTGAGCCACGGATCCTTACGCTCTTTAACATATGCATTTTGCCTCGTACTCAACTGAATAGTCTTACAAAACTTGATTCGTTTCTACCGGTGAACTTAAGTAGAGAATATGCAAAGTCAACTTCGTTTATGCCGCGTCTCATGCTGGATTTCATAGGTATCTCGGGAAGCATTGAATAGTAACAACACTTGACGGTGAAGCGAAAAACGTAAGGAACGAGAGGAATTCGTGTCGAATTCCAATTGTTTTTTTTCTTCTTATTCGAAGGAATGCAAAGTACCTAACAACGGTATGGCGTCGGAAACTTGTGGCAGAGTCTCGGCGACGAGATTCAGGAACACCGTCAGCGATAATAAAATTGTTACCCCTGAAACAGTCACAAGTTTTCAAGCGAGATCGGCTAAGACGCGATCGATGAAGATTCAGACACGATCTCGATAACGTCCGACGAGATATTATTTTTTATATATTCCTCTCCCGTAATATAACCATCCTTCTCATTTTATCTCTGGCTCTGCAATTTTTGTTTGACCATCCTCTAAAATGATTTTATTTCGCGTCCCTCGCTCCTTCTCCCTCATTATTCAACCTCCATCCTCCATCCATCAACTTTTTTACGCACCCTTGATTCGGTTTCTTTGCCCTTTTCCTCCTCCATCTTCCTTAGTTTCGACTGTTTCTTCCTCTACTTTTCGTTCAATCTAATTCGTTATTCTCGAGTGTCAAATCCAGGGGACGAATAAATCATAGACCGACGTATCGTAAACGAAGAATCGCGAATGAAAAATGAACGAATTATTCTACTCGGAAGAGTGGGTTAATTATTTAGTCATTTATTAATGAAATTACTTATCTGTTCGGTGTATAAAAACGCATTTAGTTATGCATACGATTATGATTTCCGTGTCGTCGTGTCAGTAAAAAAAGAATAGAGTTCAAACTAATTTTCGCGAACAAAACTCGTATTTGTCGGACAAATAAGAATCGGTAAATCTTAATCGAAACCAGCTACGAAAACTAGCGGGTACATAAAGGAGCGAAAAAGAGAGGAAGAGGAAGCGAGGATTCGTCGATACGAGGGAAGAGAAAAAAAAGAGGCATCGGGTGTCGGCTCGTAAAGCTCGATATTAACGCTTCCTCGCGGCTGGTTGGTATAAATAAAGAGAAGTTTTGAATGAGAATAGGGGGTTCAAACCCGAGGAAAACAATGCGACGCGCGCGGTTTTTTCGCCCCGCGAAAATAAAGAGCCGACGATTTTTCTGCCTTTTCCCTCCCGTTCCCTTCCACCCCGCCTGATGTAAATGCGCCATTTTTTCCTCCCGTCGTCCCTCCACCCCTCTCTGGTATCGCTCTGTATCGCTCGAAACAAAGAACTGGGAAGCGCTGTCGCTTGGTTGAATTTATAATCCTCCCTGTTTCATTTAACTTGATCGAATGCAAATTCTTTCGCGACGATGCTTATAATCGTTCGCACGGTGTAAAATTTTTATAGAAATTAGAATATAACGATATCGCCTTGTTCGATATAATTCATAAATAAATGTCTCATTCTTTGCGATGTTTAATTGCGATTACTCATCGTATCCTACGATTTAATAATACGACGATAAGATTCTAAGTCTGACATAGAATTCCAAGTTACTTCTTGCCCTAAATTCTCCTAGGCGTTCCTCAAGATAAATAAAACGAATATTCTCCGTGGAATACTATGTATCCGTCTAGTTTAATTAAAGCTTTCTTCCCTTTCTGTTCCTTCTTTCTTTCCTCTGACCGCCACACTTTCGAAACGGAGATAACCGATCTCCGATTAACGTTTCCTCCTCCTCCTCCTCCTCCTCTTCTTCTTGTTCTTCTTCTTCTTCCTCTTCCTCTTCCGCTGTGTATTCCTTTCCCCTCCGCGAGTTATTTACTCGGAAACGAGAGTTACACGGAGATCGATCGATTCGAGATTCGCTTTTCACCCCTTTTTATTTTCCCCTCTTACAATACCGCGGTGTACACGGCCCGTCCGTGTTCTATCGTTGCCATTTATTCATCGCTTAGCCAATTCGCGTGGCAAATGCGTTTAACAACCCGCGGACGATACACCTGTAAGACTACGAACAGCAAGGAAATTCTAAACAAGTTTGAGCCAACGGGTGAACGGGATAAACGGTCTGAACTTTTTGACCATCTCGAATACAGTTAGGTGTTACGTCTTAACGGGGGCTCGCTTCCTGAAGAGAATTAATTAACGACAAACAGCAAAATGAACGGTGCACACATGGTAGGTCAATATTTACAAAGGAGGCAACACTAAACAGATTTGGGTGGTAATTTATTATAGTTAGCTGAGGGTACCTATTAGAGGGACGGCATCCGAGGTGGTCGGCATACTTTCTGCCACGAGGTTCAGGAATACTGTCAGCGACAGTAGAATGGTCACCCCTGCGATAAAACACTCGTAATTGTCGACAATAAAATATACAACATTTTCGTTCCTCGCGTCTACCGTAATTGTTGGCATTTCCTTTTTTTAAGAAGCTAGCGTTTACAGAATTTCTCGGATCCGTTCTGCCAATACAATCGGGGGATCTTAGAAATTAGAGGGATCCCCTATCCGGGATGCTCGAATTCTATGCCTTCGAACCGAGACTAATCGGAATTTCTAATACGGAATCTTATTTCGGACGTAACTGAAATTCAAACGGTATTCGTTTTACGTTCGGTGGCCCGAGGTTCGGACGATGATCAAAATCCGATTGGATCGAGGAATTTCTACGGTACTATACTCTCCAGAACGAAGCAAGAGTAGAATAACATTTGAAATACGTCCAGTTCGCATCGTAAAATTACAGGCACGCCCAGTTTCAACGCGATTCAACAATTAAAGAACACTTACACCTCTGCAACGTGACATTTATTGCGCCGTTTTAAATTGCATTTTATTTTAACGTCAAAATGGTCCTTTGTCGGCTCGTTGGTAAAATCATATTTATTAAGCGAGAAGAAGAACGTCTCTTTAATTATCGTAAAATTTCTGGACGCCTTTGAAGAAGGAATAAATGAATTAAAGCAGTCTTGACGAAAACAAGGGACGACGGACGGTGAGTCGCAATCTTACTTTAGAAAATGCGAATATTTTAAGAAACTTGTAGATGCTATCAGCGAAGAGAGAATCTAACAGAACGTTTTCTGATAATCCGGGGCTCGGCCTGTACGTATCTTTGGAACAACAATTTTCTTCTATTCGAAGTAATCTGGACATCGCATACCAATAACTCAACTGGCAGTTCGATTCCGCGACATTAAAGATTCATAAAGCACTCGGTTAAATCGCAGTAAACGAGGAAATATCGTCGGCCAAGGCATTAAGAATCGTTCACGATAAATCTATCACGATCTAAGAGGACTTACATGTACGCGGTTAAGTACATCGTCCGAGAATCGTCGAGAGGTATAACTATACACACGAACTGAATCGTAATGTCCGTTGATTCCGGCGGAGGAAACTGGTCGTATCGATGGGCAAACGGAATCGAAGATGGGAAGATGAACAATTCCAGGTCGATTTCCATCAAATATCGATGAGACGATATAACGGATATGAGGAGCGAACGTCGAGGAAGGACGCGAGAGACCACGATTACTCCGTACGAATTAGAAGAAGGACACGGCCCGTCGTTCGAACTTCTGCCGGTATTCAGTATTCTCCCAATCGTTTTCAGGGGAAAATTCGACTAGAGAATTGAGAGAAATTCGAGGTAATGCCAGCGAGAACGAGTTTCATGATTCCGACGGATGCGGTCGACGTGTAACGTTGACTGATTGCTTAATCGTTACGATCGAACGGAAATTCTGACTGTAAATTAATTAAATTCAAACTCAAAGTCGCAATAATACAACTTCAAGTGTGTATGCGTACACATACAGTCCATATACAGAGATAGATAGTAGATAGACAGATAGATAGAAGGATAGAATAGATAGAGTAGACAGATAGAGATAGACAGACGGACAGACAGACAGCAGACAGACAGACGATATATACGAGTACGTATATAGTGTGTACAGAGTTGGGCAATTTTTATTCAAGCCATCGTATTCTTTCCACAAAACTGTCTCTCTCAGAAAACTAGAAGAAATAATCATTAAATGAATAGACAACTATAAAAGAAAGTGATCGAAATTAATCGATTAATATTAAATTTGTCACTTGTGTTCTCAAGACAACTGAACAAATTACACGCGGTTGTACATGCGATTTTAAGTATTGAAGAATGCTCACTGTTACAGAAAATCTTTCGCTAACGAGCGCTTATGTACATAATCCGTTTATAATGCCCAACTCTGGTATATACGAACGAACTAAAAATAGTACAGTAAACTGAAAAGATAACGGAGTGTACTGTCTGGCTGGTGTGAAGTAACCATAGTCACGATAAAAAACAGGCACGTCATGCATGGATTTACGTTACCTAGGGTGAGTTTCTCCCCGGAATCGGGTGGCAATGTGAATCCTAGTAGCGCCATGCTCGATATCAGAACACACGGCACGATTAAGTTGAAAAAATAGTATAGCGTTCTACGACGAATTTGTATCGTGAACGTGACGTCCACGTACGGCTCTGGACAGCATTGATACCTTATCGTGTTCTTCTTCCCTGGCATCCCTGCGAAACAGATCGAAATTAAATGTTCACAATCGAGATCGTTCGTCCTATTAAATTTTATTTGAAAAAATAGATCGTCAGATAAAAGGAAGGTATATAAATTGAACGAGCGGATTGAACTAATTTTCGACGATAAGCGTTCTTCGGTCGCGTGTTAAATTCCCGGCCATTCAGTGGATTTTCCTAGCGGAACCGAGTAAGGGTGGGTCGAAAGAACCGACTCCGTGAAAAGATAACGAAAGAAAACCGTGGAAAATGCAGGACGATCGTCATGTCGCCGTCGGAGGAGTGAAAAGAAGCGAAGGGATTTCGAAGCCCCGGCCTCGGCCCCGGGCTCGACTCGACAACCATCGATTGGCGAGTTGATGGCCCGTGCCGCGGCATAAACCCGTTCTTCGTGATCTTTTCTCGGGCTCGCGAAACGGAAACCGGCCCCCTAACGACTTCTATCAGCGTTCCGTCACCAACCGAGAATGTGTACCAAAATGAAATTCGATGGAAAAATGTGTTCCATCACGGGGACGTGATGGCAACGCGAAAATTGACTCGCCGATTGAAAAACCGAACGGAGAACTGGGTCTCGCTAAAAGTATCCGCCACGGTTTCGTTCCAATATTTGCTCGATAAGAAAAACGAGTATCGCACAGATGGGAATAATTAACCGAATCTGGTGAATACTTAATACGAAACGCGTTAAGCAATTTTTTTTCACGATATTTCTGCTCGTTCCAACTACATCATTTTACCGAGTTCCTTTCACGCTCGGGACAGCTAATTCCGTAAGTACGGTACAAACGGATTTCCAAATTATCAGAGGATCATCCCGTATCACATTCTCGCGCTGGGATGAAGCTAGATTATTATTATACTAACGGCGAGACGCGATACGTACCGCGCGTACCACACGTCGTTATCAATTATGTTTAGAAAGGAGCGTTGCACACGTGTATATCGGTAAAGCGGTAGCAAGCAGAGGAATTCTCGAATATCTTTCCTCGACGCGGTGTACTCACCTATCAAATACCACTCTCCGTTCGTTATAAAGTCGGACAGATCGCCACCGTCTTCCGAACTCAACACCAAATCCACCTATCGACCAATCAAAGTTCTCATATTAACATTGGTACACGATTTTCTTCTCTGAAAGGGAATTCTTAGAAGAAATCATTACATAGAACGTTCACGCATGCCCATGCAATATTAAGAAAGTTTCAATTAATGTGATGTACACATCGACTACGATTACTTCCTCGTTCATTCAACTGTTTTGTCTATCGCCACGGTAAATTCGCGTTCACAGGGGATGGATCGCTGATAACAAACGGAATAATCGGTAACAAAAAGACGTGAATAATTCTAGATTGTCCTTATAGAAATGGTACCGAACAATGGGAATTATAGAAATGATACCGAACATTGTTTCAAGAATAAGACTCGAGCACGACGGATTAACTCCGAATTACGTCGATTCGACGCAACTGCCAGGGGAGAAACGTTTTCCCATATATCGATTATTATATCGTCTGGAGAGCTTGAATAAACGAAACAAATATGCAGAGATAAATAATACGGGAAACGTTTTTCCCAATATTGCTTCTCTGCAAATAAAAAAGAAGGAATAACGAACGTACAATAAACGTGGAGGACGTACATGTGTAATATGGTATCAGACGAAGCTCTCGGAAGAGTTCTCAGGTTCAGACAGTAAACATTTCAAGTTTATTCTAATTGCAAAATATTATTACTAATTAAATTGGGCGAAGTCAATTAAAATTCCGTCTGTCTTTATTACCCATAAAGAACTCATGACACGAGGACAGAAATGACGATAGACCTATTACTAGAGAATATACTACACGTACAGTTGTGATTTTCATGTTCGATTTGGTTTTGCATGCATTATCTACGTTGATTGCGTATTAAACGAGTATTTACACGTTCTTGTGTACACGCGCGGTAACTTGCATACACACATACGTACACGTACGAGGACACATATTGTAGGTGTAGATATGTACACTTAAACATGCGATATAGACGCTTATGTACACGCTTATGTATTTGTGTTCACGATTTACTCGACTCGAGTCGACATCGATGTGAATTTTTCTTTCGATTCGAGCGAGCAATAATTGTTTCTTTCGGTTCAGTATATAAGAAAGGGGGGCGGGTTGTTGGGTTTGATGGCAGGGTCGAAAAAAGGGTTGGTAATGGCTAAAAAACGGAGGGTCAAGACAGGGGTGAAAATTCGTTCCTTCAAATCGAACTGCGGGGTGGTCGAAGGGTCGGTGTAAAGAGGCTCGTGTCTTTTTTATACTAAAAAATACATAAACACTTATATATATATAATTAAGGTTGGGGGTGAATCAAGGTGCTTAGACGATCATTAAAGATCATTTTGCAGATCATAGGTAGGCAGGTTGATCATATATTTTAAATATTTTTCTCTTCATGATTCTGTATTCGAAATGCCTTGCGTCCAGTACAAAATTTTTATCATGTTGTGTACACGTTCTGCTAGTTTCACCGATGCCCCCATTGCTGTTCATTCAATTTGATGGACTCGATCGTAAGGCAAATCGAATAAAGTTAATTTGCTTCGCACACACCAGTTAATTAACTCTGTTTAATTAGATTTATTATAATTCGGTTTATTCTGGTCAATTCGCTTTGTACGATTCGATGAAATTTTTAAGATTGAAAAGCAATCGAGAAGGAAGGTGAACGATTTAAGGATTTAGAACGATCCTTAAACTGTGCATCCTTGGAACCCTTGAGAAAAGAAACTGAACTAAAGTAAAGAAGAAGTTTATTTCGAGACGTGGTACACGAGGTGCAACAGGTAAAAGTTATCGAGTGTCCAACTTATTTCACGGTTCGCGTTTTAAGATAAATAAAAAGGAGAAGTCTCTGATCTCTTCGCCCTCCGACAAGTGTATCTCGCGCGTCCAAGTGCAATCGTTCGGTTCTCACGAATCAGAAACCAGATATCGTTCAAAACTAATTAAAGGTGCGTGCGAAGAAATTATATAGGTATTCTTAGCCTAAGCTTAGTCAGCGAGCATTTGCTCCTCAAAATCTCCATCACTAGCAAAACGTTTATATCATCAAAAGGTAGATTCTCATTTATCATACAGATTATATTAACGTTCACAATTGGTACTCGCTGTTCGGTCGAGTGTCCGTCAAACTTAATTACAAAGGGGAAAACACAATAAATAATATTACAAACTACTAATTATATCAAATGGAAGACGTCCAGGTACTACAAACAAGTGATTGAACTGTGAGGTCGATACTTGAAATATTAAACAACCAAATGTAGTGCTTCACATCATTTAAGGAATATCTTCTGAACAAAGATACCTTGTTGGTAACAAATTCTAGCTAATACTCCATTTTTTTACCGTAAGGATTTATCTGCTCGGAAGTAGGTACTTATTTTCTCTAGAAGTGAAAAGTATTACCAGTTCTCGTAAAATCGTCGCGTATAATAATAAAATACGAGGTGAGATAAACCCTCGATCCCTTTATCCTTATCTATCGATAAAGACAAAACCAGATGTGCGCAAATTACAAATTTTATTTTAACCGACGTACAAATTCTTCTTCTCAAATCAAACGATTCATCTACTCTTTGATACAAGCTATTTGCCAAATCATTTTTTAACTGACCTTTGAAACCGACAGGTACAACGTAAACCAAGAATGTTTCACTTATTCTACATATAGGGATAGAATTGTGACAATATTGCTTTTTGGGTTTACTTTAGGGATATATGTATGTACATATAATTTATATAAAGGCTATATAACAACGGGCTATGTGAAATATAAACAACACACATACACACATAAAACGATCGCTATCGTTTATATATCTATAACAATTAGTGAAACGTGCTCAAGTTTGCTTTAGAAAAAAATATAACCAGACACATTTAACACTTAAATTGTTATAAAAAAAAAATTACAATGGATCGTACTTGTTAATATTTCACTTCTAAGTTCTCTCATTACGTTGGAACGAGGAAATGGCGACTCGTTAAGTGAAAATCAAAGTACGTCCCTCATAATGGAAAGACGTTCTTCGTAGTAAATGACCGAGTCAGGTCAATATCTCAATTCAGGGAAATCGATTAGCGGAATCCGTAGTTGGGTCGGTAGATAACAGTTTTGGTAACAGCGCCATATCTCGGGCATAGTTTCACGGGTTTACGAGCTGCTGTCTATCAGCGTGCCTAGCGACACACAATCGTAAACTCGCGGCCGCACCGGCGCGGCTGGGCGACTACGGGGTGAAGGGTGGTGTCGTAAAACCAATTAATTGCATCGGTAATTGGATAATTCGTTCGTTAACAAAACGTCGCCCGAGCTTAACCAATTTAACTTAACGACACTGATTTACTTATAACTGGTAATACTTTTTTAATTCTAAGTCGGTGATTTCCTTCGTGGTCAGTGACTTTGCGTTGTCTCAGATCTCAACCGAGGCATCAACGAAGAAAAGAGGAAAAATTTTGCTCAACCTGCTTTCTCTCTTTGAACCAACAAAATATCGTTCACTCTCCGGTGAAATAAAAATAGTATACAGAATCTGAAACTAGTTTAAACAGTAATAGAACGGAATGAAAAATAATACGACCGGAGTGGCGGTGTAACGATTAAAGAAAGGTGGAAATTGGTCGGTTGTTGAATCGATTTAGCGAAGAATATTTGATTTTGATCGATTGGTACCGGAGAATTTCAAGAGCAAAAGCTCGGTTAACTGACTGGCATGGAAACAGTCGCTCAGCTATCGACTACGCGAAGGGAAAAATGGGTTCTTGCCTTCGGATCGCCCGTGTAAAACGGATCTATGGATCGCGAGCAATAAAAGAATCAAAACGTAACTCGGTTGGAGTAATTGTAAAAAAAAAACCATGTCCGTCAGTTTTGGCTTTCGGAACGAAAAAATTGATACAATTGTTAACTAAACAACGAAGTTAAAGAATCGTTTGAAATCCGATAGAAAATATCGTTTGGAAAGTAACAATGCTGGAGGAAAGTGGTGAAAGAGCATTGTGCGATCGTACACCGATCCGCGTGTCATCTAGTATTTTTACATCAGTTATATTTCGAAAATTAGTTACCAGTATCAAGGCTTCGCCAAATTTAGAACATGTTATTCATTTATCAGAATCACGAATACGTTTGCAATTTAATTCTGTGAGTTACAGATTATGGGATAAGTGAAAATTTGTAAATAATTCTCTCCTCATATTCTGTTCATCAAAGATACTAACGGACCGTCAAATATTTATGAAGCGAAGAGAATTTCATTTATCGATTACCTCGATGGAAATCCTTTTTATTGTCATACTGAAAGCGAAAGTATTAAAAGCTTCTTTGGGGTTTTCATGCTTAAGGATGTATAGGCTATACACTTTAACAGTGCTAGCATGTTGAATTTGTTATTATAGATCCCTACCTACCTGCAAAATTTTAAATCAATTCATGGGGTTTTTTGAAAAAATATAGTGACTTAAAATTTGCATGTACTCTTATGGTATTCAGCAGTAACCCA